AAAAGAAACCATTCATTCATTGTTAGAGGAATGATTGGTTGCTGTTTTATTTCATAACTGCAACTGCAGTTCAGATCAAAAGGGAAATCTAGTGGACAGAAGTTCGTAATAAATGCAAGTTCATTTTTTATATCGTTATGCTTGCATTGAAAGATTAATGAATAAGTTTAGCAATAGATACAAAAATAAAACAAAGAACAGTGGATACTGGAGATATGAAACAAAACAGAAATTGCTGGAGAAAGTCTGCAGGTCTAGCAGCATCTGTGGAGACAAAGAACATTCTGAAGAGGGATCACTGGACTCAAAACTTTAACTCTGATTTCTCTTCAATTTTATAGATAGCTTGCAGCAGGTTACTGTGGAAATGTGCAGTTCCTGTCATTATGTTAGATTAACCATCAACATCACATTTGGCAGATGTTGCAAAGTTGGGTAGAGTACTTGTAGGTTGGAAAGCAAGACGTTAGAATTTGGCGTTTGTAAACTGTTGGTGTTTGTAAAATGCTGTGGGGAAAGTAGCCCTTTCAATGATGATGTGCTTTCTCTATGCTTAGAGATTCAAAAAAGATGTCTACAGACTTGCAGGACAGAACATCTGAATTGAAATATTTGTATCAAAAAGGCTGTACTATTCACAGGCAAAGGAGCATTTTTACCAAGACAACAGATTTTCAAATTTGGCCAATTAATTTAAACCAGGTCCTTAGATACCAAAAACCAATTAAATTTAATTTTGATGGTTTTGATAACATAGGACCAATTCTACTGTAGGAAATTGATGTGTCATCAAGAGTCTAAAAGATGAGAGCATTTGGAAAATCAGGGGACAGCCAACTATCATCTGCTAAGAGAACAGCTCCCAGCTCTAAAAGAATGAATCACTGGCTCTCAGAGAATTCTCTAAGCCTTAGAATAAGCTCCATCTAAATTAAAGGTACATACAGCACAAATAGTTAATGTTCCTGACAAAAGAATTTGACAGGGAAGGCGTTCCTGACAGAAGGATTCACCGAGAATGTGTTCCTGACAGAAGAATTCGTTAGAGAAGACAAAGAACATTCCAGAAGACGTAACCTGGCTGTAATTTCAAGAGACTAAATTCTAATTATTTTTGGTTTACATAGGTGTCACTTGTATTTATTGGAACAGCATACTATTAGAAATTTGTTTTATTTGGGAATAGTTAATAGTTAGAAGGAATTTATTCATTCAGTTTGTTAATAGTTTAGTTAATCTGTTCACTGTTGGAGTTAAATAAATAGTTACTTGTTGATTATAAAGTGAGTGTCAGGGGTTTATTTCATTTACCCATTCCTTTATAACAGATTGGGGACTCTATTAACAGATTACAGGGTGAGGTTCACCTCTTTGGATGTCTCAGTTTTAGTTATCAGAAGGGGAGGGTCGACCTCTGCTTTATAACACAGAACACAGAAATCAAAGTTTGTGTAACATTAAAAAATAGAAATATCACCTTTTAGAAACTTTATCCTCTTTATTCAAATCTAAAATTGCTGTAGTTCATATCCCCAAACATAAAGAAAGAGTTACAACACACAGCCATTATGCACAAAGCAAGTTCCCATAAACAGCATTGTGGCAATGACCAGATAATCTGTTTTATACATAACTTAGTATTTCAAATAATGTTCAGTGATAAAAACCAAAAGAACTACAGATGCTGTAAGCCAGGAACAAAAACAGAAGTTGCTGGAAAAACTCAGCAGGTCTGGCAGCATCTGCAAAGAAAAAAACAGAGTTAGTGTTTCAGGTCCAGTGACACTTCCTCAGATAAGAAAATAGAAAGCAACCAAATTTTGCTGTGAAATTTTAATGCTCTTCAAAAGAATATTCATGTACCACTGTCAGCAGAAACTTTTAAAAAGGCTTCAAGGTAGTTCTAAATGCTAGTTCTAAATCCAAATTTATTAGGCTGATAGATCAAGCAGCACATTTTGATGTGTTTGCTGGAAGTCTTCACAATCTCGAACACCATCATCAAAACACTTTCTTCACTCCTCTGCTCCGTCAAAACATCTGTTCACCAAAATTCTCCAACATACACAACATACATCCTCCGCATAACTTCATCACAGTGATATTATTCGCTGCATTCTCCATTCCTTCAGTGTTTGCTACCTTACCTTAGTGAACACCCACTCAAAATGAAAATATTGGTTTAAGACGTGAAATTAAATCTTCATGGGGTCTAATTTCATTCATTTAAATTCGCACTCTTCCAACATGCAGAGAATAGTAATAAAGTATGGAAGCATTCGTCAAAAATTGGGGAATTTTCTACAAATTTTACTTTGCAGCATTTACTTTACAAAGTTTTCAACAATGGCTAGCCCAACTCAAGCAACAGTGTCACAAGGTAAAGTAAGTCACAAAATTATGAATCTATTTCTTGATGAGCATATTCACATTTCATGCTCTCAATGTTATTTTATCTTAATTTCACAAATTGAAACTCAATACAGTCCCTATCTGTTTTAAGAAAAATATGTACTACTTAGAAAATAATTAAACCAAACCCAGTCTAATGTTTAATCTTTGTAAAATAATATTACTTGAATAATGCATCTGAATCCATTTTGTGTAATGTGCAACCCAAATACTATTTATAGTATATATTAATGGGAAGAAAGGTTTAGATCAATGGACTGGAAATTGAATTTCAAAAATCTCTACAAAGATGACATGCATAGGCATTTTGCCTTCAAACATGTCTTTATTTTGAATGCTATTCATAGTGATTGTAACAAGGTCTGCCAGGTGGACATCATAGGAGTTCTCTGATTACGTAGCGGGTGGTGTGTGCCTGGAACGCATTGCCAGCGGAGGTGGTAGAGGCGGGCATGATAGTGTCATGACAGATACATGAATGGGCAGGGAGCAGAGGGATACAGATCCTTGTAAAACAGGCGACAGGTTTAGATAGAGGATCTGGATCGACGCAGGCTTGGAGGGCCGAAGGGCCTGTTCCTGTGCTGTAATTTTCTTTGTTCTTTGTTCCCTTTGATTAGGGCTGTTAATCTAGTCCAATCAGGGAGCCATGGATGACAGATAAGAACAGGGGTGACAGACATGCTGTTCACTCCGAGAGCTGGCTCAGAGGGAGTTGGATCAGTGTTAAAGACTTTCCACATGTAAATAAAGGGTGACTTGGTGATGGGATACTGGCCTCTGTGCAGTTATTTCACTACTTATCATCAGTGGGTTCTACTAGATAGCAAATCACTAACAGGTCAAATCAAACACTACTTTGTTAATTGGAAAATGGTATTCTTCTACAATTAAAAAGGGATACATCCAATGACTCCAAAGAAATCAGACTTCACAAGGTGCGTCGTTTATCACCCTTAGGTTTGCATAATTCAATGCCAAATCCAAAACATTAATTTATGCTTCAATCCTGGACTGTGTATTCTAAATAGACACACTTCATCAATTGACAGATATGACAAAAATCTCTGCCTCTGCTGGTAGCTAATTCTACCTGTGGTCATGACATATCATACTTGTCTATGTTGCACTATCCACACACATCCACTCTAGCTTGCCTGCAACCACGTTGACATTAGTAATCCAACTACAAAGCATCATCCAACTCGAAGTGTTAACTCTGGTTTTCTCGCTGCCTTTTTCTCAGCTGCCAGACCTGCTGAGCTTCTCCAGCACTTTGTTTTTGTTCCAGATCTCCAGCATCCATTTACATTATGCCAAAATTAGGTCTTTTTCTGCTGCCCTCCACTTCACATTCACTTTTCAAGACCTCTACTTTCTTCTGCACATCTTTATTGAACGGGTATCTGAGGCAAGTGGAAAGTGGATTAATTGTAGCATAGTTGTGGGAATAATTGATTGAAAAAGAGTCAAAAATGAGTTAAAACCATACAGTTGAACACTATCAATCTCAAGCATTTAGCAAATCATAGTTTGATATAATTTGTGTACACGCTTTGCCCTCTAAAGCAATGGAAAAAATAAAATTAAATGCATCATGCAAACTTTCAGTAAGACCTCAATCTGAATAATCTAGAAAAACAAACACTTCACGTGATGGGAAATCAATAATAATAAGCACATTTCTTTCCCTTGAGAATTCTGCTGCATAAGTATGAAAATAAAACTACCTGTATCATTAAGATCTATGTATAGAATTATCAGAAGGCGTCCATAGTGTGTCACACTTATATCACAAGGTAGAGTATTTACTACCTACTAACAGGACATACCTCTTAAAAGGTCAATCACCACACATATGCTACAAACTTAGTTGAGGAGCAGGATTAAAATAATTATTCCTATTAAGCACATGCTCAGTTTGATTTTAAAATGTCATATAATTCTCAAACATCCTTTTTTTGATTTTCCTTGATAACGCGAAGAAATAAACAATCTGTCACTTGACTAGAAGCACAGAATCTGTAGGAAGTGCTTACAATTTGCAAATTATAGATCGATACCTAAAAGGGATGACGTCAGCTTTCTTTCTCTCTCTTCCCTTTCCCCCACAACAAAAAATACCATTCTTTCATTAATAGTTGTAACAACATTGATCTCATTAAAACGAAGAAATGAACATAAGGGTAAAAGTTGGATCGTTGTTGTACCACCGAATTAGAATGACCGAATCCGACACGTCACCGCTAGTAAACAAACCACTAGAAACCTTGCTGAGAATAACGACTGGCTGCAAGTTTAAATTTCGTCTGACGTTTTAGCGTCAGTTTTGAATGAAAGCATTGTTGGAACCGATGTCGAAATCAAACTGATGCGACACGCCCACCCCACACCAAACGCATAATCCACGTTTTGCAACTTTTTACGAAGTGTGTCATTTTTTAAAGAGTCGCAAACACAACCAACAAAACTCGTATCCAATTGGAAAGAGCACACAGACGTACGTACAAGATGGTCTGAGCTATCAGAGATTGCATAAAACCGGTCGCATAGTCAATGGATCATGAACCTATTCTTCCATTACTCACTTAATGTAGTATCGAGCCCCTTCGAAGGTGTATCCTTCTTCCCAACCGGTTGGTAGGTCTGCCGTGAGAAAAAAAAGAGGCGAAAACTTAAGAAGATCAAGTAGTGAACATGCAGTCTGCCTCTCCCCAACCCTTCTCCAATGGCAATTAAGCGCTCGAGATGAGGGGGTTAAGAGAAACATGTGGGCTTCGGGGTGAGAGACAGACGTGGGGGACAGAGAGATGTGGGGAAAGTATAATGTGGGGGGAAATATAATGGGGGAGGGGAAGGGGCAGGTGGGATGAGCTGGAGGTGAGATGTCCAAGAGGTGACTGGCAGGGGGGAGGTCTTGAAGACAGACAGATGGAGAGATGTGGTTGGGGGAGATGTGATTTGGGGATGGGAGGGTCAGGATGTGGTGGTGAAGAGAGGGACGTGGGAATAAGGTTGGAATGGGGGATTGGAGGTCCAAGGTGAGTGGGATGGGCTGAGTTGGCAGAGGGATGTGCTGATGGGGATGGGGGCAGGTGACAAGGTTGAGAGAGATGTGTGGATGGGAGTTGGGATGGGACAGGACAGTTCGGATGGGAGTCAGGGTTGTCGTGGGGGTTGGTGCAGCGTTGGGGTGAAGATGTGGGGATCGGGGTGGGGATGGAGATGGGGGGTCGGGATGGAGA